GGCCTCTTCTGGCCTTTGTGTACGGAACTTCATATGAATGCAACGTACACACAGGGCGTATACACAGACACATACACGCATAAATAAATCTTTAAAATAATACATGCTGGTGATGTGGGATTGTTGGCATTGCAGGCTTTCTAAAGACAGCTAGATATGTAGCCAGAATGGGCGTGGTGTGTGTCTGCCTTTTGGCGGAAGTGTTGGAAGTATATCATCTCAGGGGGCATCGGTCATGCTGTAAGTGAAGTGCCTGACTGGATGTTAGGCATTCAAGTAAATATAAAATGGTTCCTTACCGTTTGAGACAAATATTACGTAACCAGCTGCATAATTTAAGTCGTAAAGACTATTAAAAAGACAGTGCTATGCAAAGGGGTAGATAAGGGGGGATCAGATTATTATGTTAAGGATGACCATATAGCAATAGTAGATATCAAAGACAAGAGGGGGTCAGATTATGTTAAGGATGACCATATAGCAATAGTAGATATCAAAGACAAGGGGGGTCAGATTATGTTAAGGATGACCATATAGCAATACTAGATATCAAAGATAAGGGGGTCAGATTATGTTAAGGATGACCATATAGCAATACTAGATAACAAAGATAAGGGGGTCAGATTATGTTAAGGATGACCATATAGCAATAGTAGATATCAAAAAGACTTTCCGCCTAGGGAACAGCCAATACCGAGGTGAGCATGTGACTGTCGCCAGATATGTACCCAGAGTAAAGGCTTTTTTTTTTTTTTAAAGATTTAAAAAAAATTGTGTGTATGTGGGTTTGTGGATGTGTGTGTAGTGTCTCCAGAGTACAGAGAGGGCATTGGATCCCCTGGAGCTAGAGTTACAGGCAGTTGTAAGCTTCCTTATGAGGGTGCTAGGAACAGAACTTGTGTCCCTTGAAGCTTGTGACTGTTAAGCCATCTCTGTCCACATTTGTAATGATCCACGAGGTTCTGAAGAACTGCATAGTACTGGCTTTTAATACAGACAGTTCTTGCTTTGCTGTGAATGATAGGGTAGAACTATAATGGGAGCTGATTCTATATAAAATAATCTTTTCAGCCAATAGGAAAACCTAAGTTTTTTATACCCACTACTTTTTTTGGGTGGGGGGGGCGAGTTAAAACATTGAGAACTCTCTAACTCTTGGTTACTATTTTCATTGCTCTGGCCAACTTCCTGAGGAGAAAAAACTCAGGAGGAATGACTCTTTTGACTTACAGTTTAAGGAGGGATTTATAGCTCATTGTAGTGAGGAAAGCTGGTGGGCCAGGCCTGAGGCAGCTGGTCACATTGTATCTGTAGTCAGGAAGTAGGACCAGACATTAGATCTCAAGGCTGGCTCCAAAAAATCACTTCTTCTAGCGGGGTTCCTTCCTTAAGGCTTTACAACCTTTCCAAATAATACTGCCATCTAGGGAGTAACGTTCAAACACAATACAGGGGTGGACTGGGACAGGGCTACCCTAGTACTATTGAAGGCACTACACAGTCAGGCTGAACTATAACTCTAACCCTAGCTTAGATTTCTTGAGTTGATGGCCTACCTGCCCGCCCACCCTCCCCTCCCCTCC